AAAAAAAAAAAAAAGAAAAGAAAATGTTGAGTAAGGGCTGAGAATGTGGCCTAGTGGTGGAGTGCTTGCCTAGCATGCATGAAGTCCTGGGTTTGACTCCTCAGTACCACACAAACAGAAAAAGCCTGTAATCCTAGCTATTCAGGATTAACCACCAATTAGCCACCAGAAGTGCACTGTGGCTCAAGTTGTAGAGTGCTCACCTTGAGCTGAAGAGCTGAGGGACAGCACCCAGGCTCAGAGTTCAAGCCTCACGACAAACAAGAGAGACAGAGAGAGAGAAGGAGGGAGGGAGGGAGGGAAAGAAAGAAGGAAGAAAGGAAGGAAGGAAGCAGGGAAGCAAGGAAGGAAAGCAAAGGGAAAAGGGAAAGGGAAAGGAAAGGATTCCTCAGGAAGGTGGCTGAGTCAAGATCTCAAGACTTGCCCACATTTGTGATTCATCTGGCTCTATCACAGACACAGCTTTGAGAAAACACACCCAGGCAGTGGGTCACCGGGAAAGAAAATTCACTTGGGCTACTGTCCTGCTCAGTGACAAGTTATCAGAACCAAACCACAGCTAAAGACACACTGCCAGCCAGACCCACCAACAATACTAGCTCACCCTCCCAACCCACACACTTCCTGCGTGATCAGGAAAAACCCAAATCAGGAATGCTGCAGAATCCTAGCCTAGAGTCCTTAGCCAAGTGATCAGGAAGAAGTTTATATTCCCAGCCCAACCCAGGCTGATGTGAGGGGGGGGAAAAAAGGAGGGAGGGGAGGGAGTAGCCTACAAAGATCACCTAAATACTTAATTCCAGGTGAAAAAGAGAAGGGAGAAAACCAAAGTTGGGTGCCTTTCAGAGAATCCAGTAAGGGGTCCAGATGAGACTGAAGCCAAAGGCTGATAGGAAAGGCAGGCACTGCCTCATGTGAGGTACAAAGCAGCCTCTACTCCAGGTGTTCATCACCCAGCACTTCCAAGGCTGCTCCTGTAGCATCCCACATGGTTCTGCACAGTATACTATGAAGGAGCAGAGGAAGGTGACCCCCTAAAAAAAGAGTCCACACCGAACCGTGGCAAACGACATACATCAAGAAAGACTGAGGGGTTTGGGAATGTGGCTTAGTAGTAGAGTACATGTATGAAGCCCTGGGTTTGATCCCTCAGTACCACATAAACAAAAAAAGCCAGAAGTGGCACTGTGGCTCAAGTGGTAGAGCATTTGCCTGAGCACAGGGAGGCTTAAGAACATTGCCCAGGCCCTGAGTTCAAGCCCCAGGACCAGCCAAAAAAAAAAGAAAAAAAAAGAAAGCTGAGGCTAGCCGGGCTCACGCCTGTAATCCTAGCTACTCAGGAGGCTGAGATCTGAGGATCACAGTTCAAAGCCAGCCCAGATAGGAAAGTCTGTGAGACTCTTATCTCCAATAAACCAATAGAAAACCGAAAGTGGCGCTGTGGCTCAAGCAGTAGAGCACTCACCTTGAGCTGAAGACTACAGGGACAGCGCCCAAGCCCAGAGTTCAAGCCCCACAACGGACAAAAAAAAAAGAAAGAAAGCTGAGGCTGGGAATGTGGCTTAGCGGTAGAGTGCTTGCTTGGCATGCATGAAGCCCTGGGTTTGATTTCCCAGTACCACATACACAGAAAAAGCCAGAAATGGCACTGTGGCTTAAGTGATAGAGTGCTGAGCAAAAGCTCAGGGACACTGCCCAGGTCCTGAGTTCAAGCCCAATGATTGGGGGGGGGGGGGAAGACAAGCATGTGTTGAATGTAAAATGCCCAAAATTTAAGTCTACTTGGATTGTATGCATACTGCCAACATGTGCACACATGTACATTGAATAAATTTACTCCCTAACTTTGTGTGGATGTGTATGTACCGAAGGAACTGGGCTTGAACTCAGGACCTAGCTGCTGTCCACTTGTGCTCTACCACTTGAGCCACAACTCTACCTCCACCATTTTCTGGTGATTAATTTAAGTCTAAGTCTTTCCTTGCTTCAAACTGTGATCCTCAGATCTCAGCCCCTAGAGTAGCTAGTATTATATGAATGAGCTACCAGTGCTCAGCTCTCCACAACTTTATTGTTAGAGGGGTGTGTGTGTGTGTGTGTGTTTTGTTTTCTGTTTTCTTCTTTTTGTCAGTCATGGTCCTTGAACTCTGGGCCTAGGTGCTGTCCCTGAACTCTTCAGCTCAAGGCAAATGCTCTACCACTTGAGCCACAGCACCATTTCTGGTTTTCTGGTGGTTTATCAGAGATAAACCTCAGATCTCAGCCTCCTGGTAGCTAGGATTACAGGCATGAGCCACCAGCACCTAGCCAGGTTTTTTGTTGTTTTGTTTTTTAACTGTTATTATAAAGATGATATACAAAGGGGTTAACATTACCTATGCCAGACCAGCACCTAGCCAAGTTTTTTGTTGTTTTGTTTTTTAACTGTTATTATAAAGATGATATACAAAGGGGTTAACATTACCTATGCCAGATAACAAGTACCTTACTTTTTGGACAATGTCACCCCTTTCTTCTCTCTCCCATCCCTGCCCACAAATTTTATAGTTCATTTTCAATATAGTATCTACTTACTTACACCATACTTACTCTTTTTTCTTTCTTTCTTTCTTTTCTTTTCATGTCGGTCATGGGGCTTAAACTCTGGGCCTGGGCATTATCCCTCCGCTCTTCAGCTCAAGCTCTACCACTTAAGCCACTTTCTCATGGACTTTCCTGCCCAGGCTAGCTTTGAACTGGGATCCTCAGATTTCAACCTTCTGAATAGCTAGGATGACAGGCTTGAGCCACATGTTTTTGTGTGTGCTGGAACTTGGAACTCCAGGCCTTCCATTCTTGCTCCCTTTTTTTTTTTTTGGTCAGTCCTGGGGCTTGAACTCTGGGCTTGGGCGCTGTCCCTCAGCTCTTCAGCTCAAGGCTAGAACTCTACTACTTGAGCCACATGGCTACTTCTGGTTTTCTGGTGGTTTACTGGAGATCAGAGTCTCATGCACTTTCTTGCCTAGGGCTGGCTTTGAAGTGCGATCCTCAGATCTCAGGCTCCTGAGTAGCTAGGATTACAGGTGTAAGCCACTGGCACCCAGCTCTTGCTCTGCTTTTTTGCTCAAGGCTGGCACTCTATAAAAGCCACATCTCTATTACCAATTTTTGTTGATTAATTGGAGATAAAAGTCCTGGATGAAGTGGTGCTGTGGCTCAAGTGGTAGAAAGCTTGCCTTGAGCTGAAGAGATGAGGGACAATGCCCAGGCTGAGTTCAAGTCCCACAGCCAACCAAAAAAAAAAAAAAGAATCTTACTTAGACAACTAGGAATATGGCATAGTGATAGAGTGCTTGCCTCATATGCACAAAGCCGTGGGTTTGATTCCTCAGTACCACATACACATACAAAGCCGGAATTGGCACTGTGTCTCAAGTGATAGAGTGCTAGCCTTGAGCAAAAGAAGGTCAAGGATAGTGCCCTGGCCCAGAGTTCAAGTATCAGGACTGGCAAAAAAAAAGTCAGACTGGGAAGGTGGCTCAGTGGTAGAGTGCTTGCCTTGCATGCATAAGGCCCTGGGTGTGATTCCTCAGCACCACATAGGCAGAAAAAGTCAGAAGTGGTGCTGTGGTTCAAATGGTAGAGCACTCACCTTGAGCTGAAGAACTCAGGGCAGTGCCCAGGTCCAGAGTTCAAGTAGCACAACTGATGAGAGAGAGAGAGAGAGAGAGAGAGAGAAAGAGAGAAACTTACCTTCTTAATTAACTAGAAAAACCTAGAAGTAGAGGTGTGGCTCAAGTCATAGAATGCCAGGCTTAAGGGAAAAAGTTAAAGAAGCTTTGAGTTCAAGCCTCAGTCCAAGAACCAAAAAAGAAGACGAAGAAGTAGTCTTAGACTTTCTTGGATTTGTCTGCACAGGCTGGCTTCAAACCATGATTCTGATCTCAGTCTACTGAGTAGCTATGATTACAGGTGTGTGAGCCACTGGCACCTGGCAAGAGAACATTTTTTTTTGGTCCTGGGCTTGAACACAGGACCTGGGAGCTATCACTAAGCTTTTTTTGCTCAAGACTAGCACTCTACCACTTGAGCCACAGCTCCACTTACAGCTTTTTTGCTAGTTAATTGGAGATAAGACTTTCATAGACTTTTCTGCCCCAGCTCACTTTGAGCTCACCCCCTTTGTAACAGATTATGGACAAAGCCTCCAGTACCAGGCAAGAAAAACACTTTTAAATTTGACTGAGAAATCTATATAGGGCCCTTGGGACTGGCCCAGCACAAGGCAGCTCACTGACACCAAAACTGGCCCACACATCAGGAAACCCTGCTTCCTAGCTGGCCTTCTTCCTGTAGGAAGGAAGGTGGTTATAGAATGGGGATTCAGTTATCCATAGAACAAGAGCTCCAGGGCAGGGCTGAGACCAAAGACAAATGAAATCTTCAGCTGTTTCTATAGCAATTTCCCACATATGCCAACGGTAGGGCCTCAGACAAAAGTCTCCTCCTGAATGGGCGAGACCAAACAATTTGGGCTTGGAAGTCTTAAGGAAAAGCTGAAGCCACCTACCCAGGCTACTATCAAGTGACAGGAGGACACATGACACAATGACAAGCCCCCATTGCTCTTAGAACTCTTCTTGCCCTCACTGTAAAAAATGGTTCCTTGTCATAGACCACTCTGTGACAGAGGGATTGATTTTCCCTTCTAGAAGAACATATTCAAGAACCTTGGCTCAAAGGCTCCCCCGCCACACACACTCAACTCCCTGAGGCTCCCTGAACCTACAAAAATTCCACCTTGGGCACTGGCTTGCCCTCAAGTGACCCATCTAAGAATGAAATCCCTCACTGGTGGCTTACTACAAATGACCTAGTCTGTCCACACACTGAATTACTACGAACAAATAGGCTACATGGTAGAGGAACCTTCAGGACATTTATTCAATGAGAGAACCAAACACAAAAGGCACCACAGTGAGCTGGGCACCCATGGCTCACACCTATAATCCTAGCCATTCAGAAGGCTGAGACCTGAGGATCACATTTCAAAACCAGCCTGAGCAGGAAAAATCCCTACTCTTATCTCCAATTAGAAAGTAGAGCTGTGGCTCAAGTGGAAGAGTGCTAGCCTTGAGCAAAGAAGCTCAGGGACAGTGCTCAGGTCCTGAACTCATCTCCAGGACTAGCACCAAAAAAAAAAAAAAAAAGCCCCACAGTGTGGGCTGCCTCCATTGACAGAAAATGTGCAAAACAGAAGAATCCACAGACAGGAAGTGGATTTGTAGGTTGAAGAGGCTGCTCACCGGGACAGCGTTTCTTTTCAGCAAAATAGTGTTCTAAACCTATACAGATATAATAGCTGTACCATCTGTAAAAATACTGAATTTGCCAGGCATTAATCATTCATGCATGTAATCAATCCTATTTAGGAGGCTGAGATCCAGATGATCATGGTTCCAAACCACCTGAAGCAGAAAATCTTTAAGACTCCATCTCCCAAATAATAAGCAAAAAGCTGGGCTGAAGGTATAGCTCAAGTAGTAAAGTGCCAGCTGGGTAAACAAGCTGTACAAGAACAGGCTCTGAGTTGAACTGCAAATAAGAGAGAACCACTGACCTGTATGTACACTTTTAAGGGTGAATTTTATGATATGTGAGTTTATGTCTCAAACTTGTTCTGGTTGTTGTTTTGTGGTGCTGAGGCAAAACCCAGGGTTTCATACATGCCAGGCAAATGTTCTATCACTAAGCTACAAGTTGTTATTTAAGGTTATTTTATAATTTTTCATAATAAAAAGGTTACCCTGAAAAGGGAGAAGAAAAAAAAGGGTCCAGGACTATAGTCCTGGCTAACCAGGTCCTAACTAACCAGTCCTTTGTTCACCATCTTACCCACTCCCAACCACCTCTCCAGAAAAATTGTTCAGCTACAGACCATGAGTGGCCCCCAGTGTCAGGAGAGGGGCAGAGTTACTGAATTGTAATTATCTCTCTCCTGCCTACACATGTGAGAGTGCCTGCCCATTTCAGCTCCATACCCACACAGGCCACACACCCATGTGTGTGTCTGAATCAGGCCCACTGAAATTACTAATGCTCAGGCAACGTAAAAACCTATACAGGGCAAGTCAAAGTTTTGGTGAAAGCCTGTCTAACCTGAGTTCCTGAGAACCCCAGGAAATAAATATAACAGACATCCATCTAAACTCAAGGACACTGGGCAGCCCATGCCCTTGAAATTCAGACAATAATGGACATTATTTTTCTCAGTCTCTGGTCCTGTTCTACACAGTAGGGCCACCTGTGCCTTTCAGGGTGTTGCGCAACATCCCTGTTCTCCCCGTCCACCTCCACCACCCCCCCACAAGATTCCCAGATTTCCCTTGAGGGCAAAAGTCCCAATAGAATGACTGGCTTAACCTTTCTATAGCAGAGAAGCAGAACTGATCACTTCTGCATGGGCCCCCAGCCTAGAGGGTTGCCATCCTGTTGGTGAGGGGCCTTCCTTCCTCACCTGGGACTGAGTTCCATGAAAACGAGGGGAACACAGCAGGATCTCTCTATTATTTCCTATGACTGTGCTTGCGTGACTCTCCAATTACCCCATAATAAAAAGGTTAACCTGAAAAAAAGACAAGAACTTTCAGCAAGAGGCCAAAGCGAAAGGGGGAGGGGTGAAACTCTGCAGTTCAACTCACCAACTCCCTACATCTCCCCAGTTCCTGGCTTGCCTCCCTCCCACTTATGCTATATCTGTCTGGAACAGAGTAAGCAGTGAATCTGAATTTGTGAGACCAGAACACTAAAACTACAGCTCATGATGCCAAATATGGAATCCCAGTTTTGTCTTTTATCCCTTCTCTTTGGAGAACAAGTCATCCGCCCGCACAAGGCAATCTAAAGGTTAATCTGCCTCCCCCTACCCTTGTGTTCAGGGACTAGGCAGGACACTCATCCTCCAGGGTCAGCATCAGAAAATACCTTCTGAGTCAATGAGAAGACTGAGGATGGCTCACTCCACCCCTCACCACTACTCACCAACTTACTCAGCAGCCCTCATCAGAGGGGCACTCAGCCAAGAGGAGGCTGACTCCAACACCACCCACAGCCTCATGAGTCACCAATGAGAAGGCCAACCTCGGTTTTTCCCCTAAGCTGCCCACCAGGCAAGCCACTACAAATGGCACTTGTACCTTTCCTATCAGAAGGGTCATCTTGCATTAGAAATGCTGCTGTGGACTGCCTACGTAGGAGATTACCCAGAACCTGATTCAATTCAAGAATCTCACTTTGTCAGATGTGCAAACCCAGTCCTAAAGCTGGACATTCCCAAATGAAGACAGCTGTGGCCATGTGACACTTTCTCCTCCTACAGAAGATCCTTCCAAAAAGCCACCCATACCACTCCCACAACCAAAATGGCACTATCACACTGCTGACCTTTCTGTGCACAAAGGACCTACCTTTACTTTACAAGGTTTAGAGATTAAGAATGCAGTCTTACAGTCTTCCAGCCCTGGGCACTTCCAGAACTATTAACAAGTACACACTCACAGGAATTGCTGGGACACTCCAAGAATCCAAATTTCTCAAGTAGTCTATTTCATGCCATGGTCATGGGGTTACCATTCTCATGGCAACCTTCTTACAAGGTACTGCCCCTCATTTCTCCTGCAGAATCCCTCCATTCATAGAAACTGTGGAAAGAGGTAGAAGAGGGTACTGTAGAGCTATAAGAGGGCACTGTAGAGCTATAAGAAGCTGCTGCATGCCAGGCGCTGATGGCTCAGGCCTGTAGTCCTAGTTACTCAGGAGGCTAGCCCAGGCAGGAAAGTCCATGAGAGTCTTCTCTCCAATTAACCACCAGAAAACCAGAAGTGGTGCTGTGGCTCAAGTGGTAGAGCACTCACCTTGAGCTGAAGAGCTGAGGGATAGTACCCAGAGTTCAAGCCCTACAACTGACAAAAAAAAAAAAAAAGCTTTTGCACCTCACTCATGCTTAGGAAGTAGGGAATTTCTATGCTCCATCTCACCCCTCCCCATGACAACTACAGCTGGACAGAGCCCACAAGACATCAGAAATATATTAGGGCCAGCACTTCTGGCTCCTGCCAAATGAGGTCCCAGCCAGGGAGGGAAAGGCACTGGTGCATTGGTGATCTTTCCCGCCTGACATTGGAAAGCCAAAGCCAGCCAGGTTCAACTGAAACCTTCATGAAAGCCAGGACCTAGCCACTGCCACTGCACTAGCCTTCATGTTCATCCTTAGAGTAAAGAGCAGGGGCAACAAATAAACTCTCTCCTTAACATTCAAAGATGGCAATTTTAAGATGCCAGCTCCTAGGAGTCTTCAGGGTCAATGGAACTCATTTCACATAAAACTAAACTCGAAGGTCTATAGGTCTATACAGCTTTATGCTTATCATGAAAAACTGGAAAAGAGCCCAGAGTCCAGTGACTAGCAGGTGAATGAATGGATCAACAAACCATGATCACACACATGACCATGGTTTTTGAACTCAGCAGAAACAGAAGCCCAAGCCTGGTACTACTGGTGGCTCACACCCATAATCCTAGCTACACAGAAGGCTGAGTTTTGAAAATCAAGAGTTCAAAGACAGGCTAAGAAAGCCAAATCTAACAGACTCTTCTCTCTTCTCTTTGTGTGGATCAAGTGGTGGAGCTCCAGCCATGAACAAAAAAGCTGAGTTGAGGCCCTGAGTTCAAGCCCCAGTATCACTATCACTCACTCACACACACACACACACACACACACACATACACACACACATACACACACACACACACATACACACACACACACACACAAGCACGCATACCAGCCCCAGTACCTGTGGCTCAGGCCTGTAATCCTAGCTACTTAGGGAGCTAAAATTCGAGGATTACAGTTTGAAGTAAGCTGGGTAGGAAAACTGGAGAGGGGCTGGGAAGTTGGCTCAGTAGTAGTGCTTGCCTTGCCTGCACAAGGCCCTGAGTTCGATTCCTCAGCACCACATAAGCAGAAAAGGCCAAAAGTGATGCTGTGCTGAAGAGCTGAAGAGCTCAGGGACAGTGCCCAGGCCTAGAGTTCAGGCCCCACAATTGACAACAAGAAAAAAGAAAAATTGGAGATACTCAACTTGCAAAATAACCAGCAAAAAGCTGTAGCTCAGATGGCATAGCTCTAATTGAGCAAGCCAACACACCAGCCTGAACCCCCAGGCAATTACAACAACAAAACAAACAAAAAAAACTCTAGATGTGACTTTGAGACCCAAAACAATGCAAGGCTACACCCTGATTCAATACCTCTGACTTTCTAAAACAAGGTTAAATTAAGGGCATTAAGACCCAGAGAGTTGAAAGACAGGTGACAGGAGGGGAGAGGGAGTCTGAGGGTGGCTGGATTTGTTCTGCAACTTGACTGTGGTTATAAGACCCCACGTACCTGTCAAGGCTCCCCCCCCCCAAAGAGTTTGTTAATGGGAAGAGCACGAAATCAAAATTAACTCTGTTATCTTTCGGGCCTAATAGAATGAGTGGTGGGAGGAGTTAAAAGTTTCCCAGGTTTGAGAATGGAACCCGGTGGGAGTTTCCACCCCAGGCAGGATGCACGAGCAGCCCAACAGGAAAAGCCAGAGTACCAGTCTCCACCTCACCCAAGACCCGGCAGCCTCATTTCCACAAGCCAAGCCAAAGAGCAGAAGAGGGTACCAGTGTGGGGACCCTATCCACTAGGTCCCGGGCAAAACTGCACCCTACCTCAGTGTTAGCCCACAGACACCTACCAAAACTGCTTACTTTGACTTCGACCCAAAATACATACACCCCCACGCCCCAGCCCCCCCCCACTACTTCCCAAAACCCCCAGAAGGGACGCCTTTGTATACTTTCCATTCTCCCTGACATCTTGCAAGGGTGACTGGGATGACAAGAACGACGTTCCTGACTTCCCAAAGTCAGGGACAACCATTCTCGACTTCTCAGGGTCACTCTGTCCCCTGGCCCCCAAGACTCCAGAGACAGAAATCCTTCATTGAGAATCATCAACCGGGAAAGAGGGATGGGGGGGGGGGAACACAAGGAACAGCGTGTCCTCAAAAGCTGGCACAAAAAGCTGACAGCGCCAGGGACACCCAGACCTGCGCCAGGGACACCCAGGCCAGCAAGCCGCAGGCTCCTAGGGAAAGCCCGGACCCGCGCCGGCCCGCGCCCGCCCGCCCCCGGGGATAACCAGGGCAACAGCAGCCGCCCGGCGCGGGCCAGCGCGCGAGCGCGCGCGCGGAGGGAACACCCGGGTCCTCAAACACCATTCTAAGACTCCGTCGCCCAAGTCCCTCGCGCCTCAGAGGACGACCTCCCCGGGCGGCACTCACGTAGACCGGCAGCGGCCAGGGGTAGACGGCGGGCTCGGCCCCCACGGGCGACTTGAGTCTCAGCTCCAGCTTTTCCCCCATGTCAGCGCGCGCGGCCGCCGCACCATGCTAGTCCGGCGGTGGGGGGAGGGGCGGGGCCGCCGGCGGGAGGGCGGGCAAAAGAGGAGGGTGGAGGGAGGGGCGGGAGGCCAAGGGGAGGGGGCCCGGCTTGGGCTTCGGCCGCTGTCGCCGCCGCCGCCGCCGCCGCGCTCCCGTCCGGCCCCCGGCTCCCTCTTTGTAGTCACAGGCCCGGGATGTCTAGCACCGCCGCCATCTTGAGCTGGCGTGAGGTGAGCACAATGAGCCAGGGGCTGGGCGGAACCACTTTCCACGGGGATGCGGGGGAGTCCCGGCGTGAGGAGGCGGTACGCAACCGTATCTCCGCGTCACGGCGTGCGCGCCACCCCTCCGCTGCCACGCCCCCGTAGACTCTCCCGACTTGTACGTATCTACGCAAGCACGTACACACGTGAGCAAGCTCCCGCTCACGTCCTCGGCTGCCCTTGCACGCCCCCAGCAGCCGGAAATGAGAACCCGGGGAAACCCTACCGACCCACAGGACTCGGAAAGTTGCGAGTTCAAATCCAACCGCTGTTCAGCTAACAAAACCATAAATCCCTGAGTGTAAGGTCCTTCTCCAGATTAGACATAATACTTGTTCATAATAAATAATACTGCTTATAGAGCATCTCTACGCACCAGCTATTGGACACACAGTTCTGGCCCAGCAAATAGATTGTCCTTCCCATAAAGAGCTTTCTGTTTTATGTATTTATATATTTTGCAGTTCTGAGATGAAACCCAGGGTCTCTCCCGGCTCTACCAGTAAGCCCCACTCCCAGTTCCAGTTTCCTTTCATTGTAAGGGGCATCTTCCATTTGTTTGCTGATCATGAGGCTTAAGTTCTGGGCCTGGGCACTCTCCCAGAGTTTCTTTTTGTTCAAGGTGAGCACTCGTCCACTTAAGCTACAGCACCATTTCTGCCTTTTTGGGGGGGAGGGGGGGTTGGTCATGGGGCTTGAACTCTGGGCCTGGGCACTGTCCCTACCCTCTTCAACTCAAGCCACAGCTCCACTTCCGGTTTTCTAGTGGTTTATTGGAGATAAGAGTCTCCCGGACTTTCCTGCCCAGGCTGGCTTCCAACTACATAGGATCCTCAGATCTCAGTCTCCTGAATTGCTATGATTACTAGCTTAAATCACCACCAGGCCTCTTCCTTTCATTTTAGGTGGAATAGTCGAGATAACTGTCACAACACGAATGATTTAAAGCCAGGTGCAGGTGGCTCACACCTGTAATACTAGCTACTCAAGAGGCTGAGAGCTGAGGATCACAGTTCAAAGCCAGCCCAAGGAGCAAAGTCCATGAGACTCTTATCTCCAATAAGCCACCAGAAAACCAGAAGTAGCACTGTGGCTCAAGTGGTAGGGCACTCACCTGACCTAAAGAGCTGAGGGACAGCGCCCAGGCCCAGAGTTCAAGTCCAGTCTGACAAAAAAAAAAAAAAAGGAATGGTTAAAAAATATATATCAGTGTCATCAATGTCCCCAGAGTAGGGCATTATCAAATTGCATCTCAAAGCAAGGTCTTGAAACTGAGAGCTTGGGACCAAGGATTAGCTTAGATGTCTGAATGTATTTTTATTAAATTAACATTTAAATCACTGGGATTGGAGTAAATTGATGAGCAGTTAACTCAAAACCACAGAGGAGTCAGGCGCTAGCTACTCTGAAAGCTGACATCTGAAGATCTCAGTTGAAGTCAGCAAGAGTCCTTGAGACTCTTTATCTCCAATTAACCACCAGAAAACCAGAAATGGAGCTGAGGCTCAAAGTGGTAGAGCTCTAGCTCTAGCTCTAGCTCTGAGCAAAAAAAGCTCAAGGACAGTGTCTAGTCTCTGAGTTCAAGCCCCATGACAGACCAAAAACAAATAAAGGAGGCTCCAGTGGCTCAAGCCTATAATCTTAGTTACTCAGGAGGTTGAGATCTGAGGACCACAGTTTAAGGCCAGTTTGGGAAGGAAAGTCCTTAAGATGAGACTCTCATCTCCAGTTAACCAGCAAAAGGCCAAAAGTGGAACTGTGTCTTACGTGGTAGAGTACTAGCTTTGAGAAAAAACTAAGGGACAAGGGCTGGGAAGGTAGCTTAGTGGTAGAGTGCATGAGGCCCTGGGTTCAATTCCTCAGCACCACATTAGCAGAAAAAGCCAAAAGTGATGCTGTGGCTCAAGTGGTAGAGCACTAGCCTTGAGCTGAAGTGCTGAGGGACAGCACCCAGGCCCAGAGTTCAGGCCCCACAACCAACAAAAAATCCTAAGGGACAGTGCCCAACCCAAACCCCAGGACAGGTACACACGTGCACGTGCATGTGCGCTTGCGCACACAAGGAGCCAAATGTTGGTGGCTCATACCTGTAATTCTAGGTACTCAGAAAGCTGAGATCCTCACATCTCACCAGCCCTGACAGGAAAATCCTTGAGGTGAGACTCTTGTTTCCAGAAAAAAGCAAGAACTAAAGTGAATCAAGTGATAGAGCACCAACCCAGAGCAAAAGCGCTAAAGGACAATACCCAAACCCTGAGTTCAAATCCCAGTACTGACTGGCACACAAAAACTAAAACACAGGAGGGCCTTTGTTTTATAGTAGGATCCTGCCCTGGGTCCTCTACAGACAAGGCTAAAAATAAAGATGGATTCTAGCTACTCAGGAGGCCGAGATCTGAGGATCACAGTTCAAAGCCAGCCAAGGCAGGAAAGTACATGAAACTCTTGTAAGCGCTCAGACAGGTAAAACTCTTTCTCTCTCTCTCTCCCTCCCTCCCTCCCTCCCTCCCTCCCTCTCTCTCTCTCTCCCCTCTTTCTCTCTCTCTCTCCCTCTCTCCCCTCTTTCCCTCTCCTCCTCTCTCCCTCCCCCTCCCCCTTTCCCTTCCAACTGAAGGTAAAAGTATGAATGAGTTTAAGTTTAAACTCCTCCTCTGCGAGACCCTCCTGCTACCTAGATAGTGGACATGACCAAGTGCTCTCTCTGGGGGTAGGAAGTGAGGTAGATGGCAGTCCAGGTAGGTCTGGGTGGAGAGAGGGAGGGGCCAGCTGTAAGGCAGAAATTCCCGGGCAGGGAGGAACTCAGGTCTGGACAGAGCTGAGGACCAAAGGTGGGCATAATGCTTACAACTCTATCTTTTTGGTTGGTCATGGGGCTTGAACTCTGGGCCTGGGTGCTGTCCCTCAGCAATTTAGCTCAAGGCTAGAGCTCTACCACTTGAGCCATAGCACCACTTCCAGTTTTTCTGGTGGTTTATTGGAGATTAGAGTCTCACTGACTTTGCTGCTGGGGCTGGCATTACACTGCAATCCTTAGATCTCAGCCTCCCAAGTAGCTAGGATTATAGATGTGAGCCACCAGTGCCCGTCTGCTTACAATTCTTATCTCCAAAATAAAAAAATCAGGATGGATTCACTTGCTGTAAAGTCAACGAAACTCAAACTATTACCTGATCTTACCAAAAATTAGAAGAGGTAACAGTCAATTTTACCCTCCCCCCCAATTCCAAATGGAGAGAAACAAAAGTGGTAATGAAGTGCCCTCCCTCAATCACTACAGGAAAAAGTTAACTGTACAAACATATGTTAATTTTTCTATAGTTCTGTTTCTCCTTTGCAAAGAGAAGTAACTTTTGTTCTTGTGTTGGCTTGACTGAGCTCTGTTCTGGAGTTTCTTTTGCTCAAGACTATATCTCTACCACCTGAGCCACAGCTCCACTGTGGCTTTTCTGGTAGTTTAGTAGAGATAAGAGTCTCGTGGACTTTCCTACCCAGGCTGGCTTTGAACGAAGATACTCAGATCTCAGCCTCCTGAGTAAGAATGACAGGTATGGAGCTACCAGCACTTGGCTTTTTCTCTTGTCTTTTTTAACCTGTTGGTTCTGGGATTTGGACTTAGGGCCTGGGCACTGTCCCTTACCTTTTTCCATTCAAGGCTGGCCCTGTACCACTTGAGCTACAGCTCCACTTCCAGCTTTTTACTGGTTATTTTGCAAATGTAATCTATCAAACCATTCTTCTGTTATGGCTTCAAACTAAGAGTCTCTGAATTTCGACCTCCTGAATAGCTAGAATTATAGACCTGAGCCCACATACCTATTAGATCTTAACTCTGTTTGGTTGGTTAATTTTAGGCGGGCCTGGGGCTTAAACTGAGAGCCTGGTATTGTCCAGGAACATTTTTGCTCAATGCTATGGCTTGAGCCATACCTCTGCTTACCACTTGAGACACTCCTCTACTTCTGGCTTTTGGGTGATAAGAGTTTCAAGGAGGGCTGGGAAGGTGGCTCAGTGGTACAATACTTGCTTTGCATGTATGAGGCCCTGAGTTCAATTCCTCAGCACCACATAAGCAGAAAAAGCCGGAAGTGGTATTATGGCTCAAGTGATAGAGTGGTAGCCTTGAGCTGAAGAGCTAAGGGACAGCACCCAGGCCCAGAGTTCAGGGCCCAGGACAAACAAATAAGACTTTCAAGGACTATTACTGCTGTAGCTGGTTTCTAACTGCAGTTCTCAGATCTCAACCTCCTGAGTAGCTAGGATTAGCCACCAGCATCCAGCTTAACTCCTTTTTTTGTTCGTTTTTTGGTACCAGTACTGGGGGCTTGGACTCAGGCCCTGGGTACTGTCCCTTAGCTTTTTCTGAACAAGGCTAGCACTGTGCCAGCTCTACTTCTACATTTTTAACTGTTAACTGGACATAAGACTCTCATGGACGTTCCTTCTAGAGCTGACTTTGAATCATGATCCTCAGATCTCAGCCTCTTTAGCTTCAACCAACAGGTGAGTGGTCAACACCAGGGCTAGATCCCTAACTTTCTTTTTCTTTTTCTTTTTGTCACTGGGGAGCTTGAACTCTGGGCCTGGGTGCTGTCCCTTTGCTCTTCAGCTCAAGGCTAGCACTCTACCACTTGACCTATAGTACCACTTTGGACTTTTTTCATTTATGTGGTGCTGAGGACTTGAACCCAGGGCCTCATGCATGCAAGGCAAGCGCTCTACCACTGAACCACTTTCCCAGCCCTAGATCA